AGCAATGCCGCAACGGCAACGGCACGGCTGACTTTATTCTTTACCCAGGATGAGTTTGATGCGTATAACCTGGTCAATGCAGCTAAGCTGCCAGCCTACCCATCGGATGCCACCGGTAAAGAAAAGCTGCGCATCTGGCAGATGCATGGCACCAGCTCAACCGGCACCCCGGGCAGCTATTCCGGCACCGATACCCTGCTCAACCCGGATGATGCGGCCATTGTATGGAACGGTGCAGACAGCCGCTGGGAAGTGAGTTTTAATGTGACCGGGTTCAGTGGCTTCTTTGTAACAGCCGCTTCTTCGGTACCGCTGCCCGTGCAGCTAATATCGTTTGAAGCTGTAAAAGGCCCTGATAATAAAAGCAGTGTCCTTGAGTGGCAGGTAAACCGCGAAGCTGGTATGAGCCGCTATAAGATACAGCGGAGCAGCAATGGCAATACGTTTGAAACGATCGGCAGCGTAGCGGCCAACGGGAAAGAGCGATATCAGTTTATGGATGAACAGCCACTACCGGGCATCAACTTCTACCGCCTGAGTATGGAGGAGACAGATGGCAGCTATACATACAGCCGGGTCATCCGTATCACGTTTAGAGAGAACAACCAGCCAGGCATCGTCATTTACCCGAACCCTGCGGCAACCATACTGAACATTAATCCGGACGGAATAGCAGCCGGGCTGCTGGCCCTTCAATACACAGACCTGGCAGGAAGGACCGCGCGAACCATTCGTGTGAACTATATTCCGGGTGAAGTGATCCATGATGACATCAGCACATTACCCGCCGGGTCGTATATCCTTACGTTGCCGGGTACCCATATACCGCCGGTAAAACTGACGGTTTTAAAATAGCTTGTTCCCGGAGGTGGTGAGCAGCAGGCACTCTTCGCAACCGTGAAGGGTGCCTTTTTTATTTACAGCTTGTATTTTTTATTTATCCGTTAAATGAATTGGCACTTTCGCCCCGTAATTTTACTTTTACGCTCTCATGCGTCATTTGCCCAACCTGCTTACGCTGGCCAATCTTTTTTGCGGCTGCCTCGCCATTGTTCATGTGCTTAATGCACAGCCCTTTCTGTATCAGTCTGCAAATGGGCCCGATTATCAGTGGAACATGTGGGCCAATGGGGTTCAGCAACTGCAATGGGGCGGGGTCCTGATCTTTATCGCCGCCTTTTTTGACCTGCTGGACGGATGGGTTGCCCGCGGCCTGAAAATATTCTCCCCGATTGGCAAAGACCTTGATTCGCTGGCCGATGTGGTATCTTTTGGTGTAGCCCCCGCAACTATTCTGTACAAACTTTTATGGGATGCTGTGGCGCGCGAACCGAATATGACCGATGTATCCATGCTGGCAATGGCACCGGCATTCGTGCTTGCCTGCTTTGCGGCTTTGCGGCTTGCAAAATTCAATATAACACCTGCTAAAAAAGGAGAGTTTACCGGTATGCCAACTCCTGCCGTGGGCATTTTCGTAGCATCTCTCGCACTTATCGACTGGGATAATCCAAGCGGCTGGAGTCAATATCTCCAATACAGCTGGGTACTTTACGCGATCATCGCCATTCTGTCTTACCTCATGGTATCAAACATCCGCTTCCTGAAGCTGATGCCGGCCAGCTGGAACATTAAACATAGCTGGCCGCAGGCCATGATCGTGGTGGGTGCTATTGCCGCCATCCCTTTTATACGGTTCAGCGCTATCCCCTTTGCCTTTGTTTTATACATCATTATATCCCTGGTGGCGCCAAAGCAGAAAACAACAACTGCCGACACAACGCTGTAATTTTGCGGTTTCGCATTTATAACCAATCAACGGATTTC